AATCTAGTGGTCGAGCGGTAGGCATGTTGCGTATGCCAAGCTGCTTGTCGCCCTGCAAACTCGCATCCTGTCGGCCGAACTCTGCTTTCGTCCATGGCTCGTTTCCCTGGACTAAGCTTGACCTACCTTCACCATTCTGTGTTGAAGAATGCAGAATCGCCAAAATCACCTCCGGCCACTACGAACTCCAGCGCAATGGGAGAGGGACCAAAGATCATCGCCAATGTGGCAGGTTGCCCCCCTCTTCCTCAGGTTGTGTTCCAGGCTTCAGATGGGCTCGCCAACAGCGGCACAAGTCGTCAAATTGACTAACTGCCACCGCTTCTGTCAACCCATCACACTTCTTCCACCCGCGTCGTACCCAGCCATCAGTGCTGTTCGCTTGGATCGGGATCAAGCAAAGCGGCATATCACGGGAGGTGAGGGTGTGCTCCAAAGGCTTGATGACAGTCCTGTTAGCCAACGACCTGTTTCAGCAGACATTCGAGACTGGTATTGTTCCCCCACGCTTGTCGTGACTGCTGCACCCCTCAAGGAGAGACGGTGAATGGCTCGCTTATTACACTACTGCAGGTGGCCCGAAAGAGATGTTTAACACATAGCGAAGTGAGCCAGGCCTTGGCGCTGGTGCTGCTACGCCGTGCGGAGGAGAGGAGTGGATTGTGGGAAAAGGGGAGGACGGACGGATCATGGATCCTGTCAGTCGACCGTACCAACCCGAGCGAGCACATGTTCTGATCCTCGCGGAGGACTTGGCGACCGAGATGCTCCGAAATGAGACCCGGAATCTTGTGTCAGTGACCGACAGTCCGACAGTCAGCTCCAGAGGCTGATATGTGCTTCTTAGCCGGCGGTGCTTGAGCCGCCAGTGGGCACACGTCTCAAAGAGGCAAAACCGGGCGACTTGAAAGTTGAAAGATGTTTGACGGCCAGGGCGGAACCGGGAGGAACGAACCTCGCGATATTGGAGGGCTGTCTTCCGTCCTGTCTTCCGTCCATTCTTCCATCGAGTACGTCTTCGTCGGTGTGGTATTTGGACATATACCAAGACAACGGCGCCTTGCTCGAGCCTCGATGTTTCTAGCGGCTTGTTTGACCCTGCTACACATCGTTGGCTTGGCTGAACTAGAAGTCTCTCGCAACTGCCGTTTTCAACCCCCAACTTGCCCCCATCCCTGGGGATGGGAAGTTGTTGGGATGGCGTCGCTGAAACTCAAAAAATGATACCCTCAGGAGCGCACATCGGATTGGACACGGATCTACAGACATACGAGGCGGTTGTCGCGTTGAAATACCACCTGGAACAGTAAGCAGCAGGTCTAGACTTGGCCGATGGTAGAGAAGACGCGTCTCGTTCGTGGCTTATTCTATGTCTCGCGCTGGCTCAAGGCGCACCTTGCAGTTTTTTTACGGATTACCTAGCACTGCACCTGATACCAGGGGAGTGTATCGACGAAGTTTGGCATGTCAAAATCAGCAAAAGATGTTCACGCCTCATCTCAAAATGGACAGCCAAGGAGATCTGCCGGGTTATTAATGTGATTATCGATTCTCGACTCTCAACAATCAATGGTCCGAATGATGGGGTTTTGCCTTTCGAAGTTGTCCCTATTCAACTGCTCTTTGTACAGATACCGATACCTCAACTAAAATGTGGGGAGCGGAGTCTCCTCATCTTGAGATTTGCCATATTATCACAGTCTGTTAGTTGAGGCGAAGAAGCTGTGTCGATGCTGGGCTGGAATGGGTTGAGTACCTCATGGGATTTCTGACAGCTAGGGACGTGGCTGGCTAGCTAGCCAAGCCACGCCGTGGAGTCAGTTCCGGACGGGATTCACCGTACGGGAAAGTATGTCAAAACGGGCTTGTTCCTCCAATCGAAGCTCCTCCTTTGGCAATCCACCACCGCCAACATCGTCACCAGCCTCTCCAGTCTCCATCTCTGGGTCTCTACCCCGAACTTGGCCCCGTTGCCCTTCCGCCCGCTCGAGCCCTCGACAACGGGCTCCCGCCAAGCCAAGTGGCGGTGAGCTAAAGGCCCCCGAGAGCCCTGGAGCTCGTCCGCCTCCCTTCCCTTCGCTTCACTCTAATCCCCGTCTACAGCAGCCCCTCACTGGGTGCATTCACCTCTCGGGTCTTTTGCGGCATGCTTGACAGGGCTAGCTAGGCCCTGCGGTGCCAGCAAATGTAGTGTGAGTCGACAGCTGCTACCGCCGCTGCTGCTGGTAAAAGGGGCTGGAAATCTCGCTTCAATGCTTGCTGCATCCTCAAGCTGGAGATGCAAACGACCTATTGGAGCTTCCACCAGCTTGATCCCGGGGAAGCTCATGCGACTGCCTTCTGTTTCTGAACCTGAAGTGCCATTGCGATTCACCGCAGCTTTCCGAGCTGCAGACCGTCAAACGCGTCTGTAGGCATGGCCTGTCCAGCGCCCTTGTTCCACGGCAGACGGGCAGCCGCGTTGTGCAGGCGTCTACTTCTCTGAAGACAACTCGGGTCAACGAGATGCCCCGACATGGGCGGGAAGATGGTATTAATCTGGGGTTCGCGGGGTACAAGTGGCTTACAGTCACGATACATCGATACGATCCTTTGTCCTGGAGGCAATCACACCCCCCGGAACTCTATCCCGGATGGGTGGGAGGGAACAGGCCATTCTCACACTCTCCATACATGCGGCATCTCGAAAAATCCCTCATGGCTGGTATGCACCATTATGGAGGATGGTGAGGATGACGACCTTGTTTATGTACGAATACTCGTGATTTGCCAATCATCCTCGCAGTCAGGCCCTTTGCTGTATTCGTAGCAGATACTTTGGCATTGATGGTCAGTTCAGTCTGTCCATGCTGTACACCATCCCGCCGTCGCAAAGCTCTGCGGCTCAATACTCGGTCGATGGGTTTCGGACACACGGACACGGACGTGGCATATATTGAACCTTTGCGTCTACGGCCAACACGGTGCAACTAGCTATTTGATGATTTCGTTATCGTCAGAATTTTCCATCTGCATGGAGGTTGCCATCGCCAGGTGGGGAATTGGTCTGCAGCTTCCGACATGATCAGACTTTTTTTTTTGGTGGCCATGCCGAACGAGAGAGAGCGCGAGAGCTTATCTCTCCTCTCATGTGGCGAAGAGTGATCGCCCTGGGGCCCAGATCTTCTAGAAGGGTTCTCCAAACCCCAAGCCCGAGTCGGCGACGTCTGCATCCCTAGTGGGTAGTCTGGCCCCCTCCGACGATGATCGAATGCCTAGAGAGAAGGAAGCAGCTCAGTCCTTGATGGGCGACGCTTGGCGTTCTGCCAAAAAATGCCACCATTGACCATTCATGGTCCGTCGAGCCTGTCCCTGGCGTGCCCAGCTGAGGGGAAAGCCCGACTGGGAGACGGGCTTGTGTTGAAATATGCCTGCAACTGGGCACTCCATCATTTTTGGGGTTTGGCTTGGCTTGTTCGGCGATTCCCATTGCTTGACAGGACGATTCTTCGTCGTGGTGGTGGGAAGTGTGCCAAGCCAAACGTATTTTAAAGTTTTCGTTTGCTTTGCCTAAGGACACTCAATTGCGTGTCCGTTTCTGTTATGATCTGCCTGTAGCCTTTGGTAGATCCAGAGTCACGGCAACCAAAAAAGTCCACCCACTGCGATGGGTTAAAGTAGCTGCTGGCACGTTTTGGCATGTTGGTTGAGTGAGGTAGCACGGTAAGTCCGACGTTGATTTGAGGAGATCAGCAATCCCATACCTCATCCGAATATGGGCTGCTTAATCTGGTGAATCTACATGGGCGTCCCCTGGAACAGATCTCCCCCCTCCGTGCCCCCCGTAGTTCGGACGGAGGCCCAAGGTAGGTGGTCAGAGGGAAAACGATCGGAGGAATCGAGAGCGAGAAAGCCGCCGCGCTCAACGTGCGGCGAGCGGGCTGATCGCGGACTGTGCGCGGTTGAGGGGTGGGAGGACGCGCAGACCGGGGAACGTCACTCCGGTTGCCGGAGCTTCTTTTTGCTGCGGGTGTTTGTTGAGGACGGGAGGAGGACGGATGTGCATGTTCAGCATCCGAGTACGGCTTCCGGTCGTACATGTCCTCGCGCCTTTGGATTCTTTTTGTGTTTTCGAGAGATTCAGGTGGGTGTCTGTCTCGCACGGTGATCTTGGGGTTGGAAGGAAGGTGTATCTTTAGAGTGAGCCGTAGCTTGAGGCTTCAAATCTGCCTATATATGTGTATGTGGCTGCTGCTTGTAGCTGTAGCTGGCAAGACTACTATGCTCGAAGTTGAATATAGACAACGAAGGCGTACCTTTTACAAAACCTTCCTTCGTGGCAGAAGCTATTATGGTTACTCGATTCACAGACAACAGGGCTGCTGAGAGAGTTCTTAGTCGGGACCGCTGCGGGTTTCTCTCCCGAGACGGGGGGTTGAAACTTTGACGTGGCGTTCTGCGGGCGATGAACCCTGCGGTTTAGGTTGTTTTTTTTGTTGAATGTGCGATTTGGAGTGTAAACATGTTACGGGACAAGGTGATGGGGTAAGAAAGGGGCATTTGGTGGTTGTTGTGGCATGTAAGGCTTTCTCGATGAGTGTGGTTACCGTACCTTTCCTTCTCTATGGCCTCGTGAGGGAGATATCCGGAGGACTGGGCGGAGGACGGTGGGCGTGGAACCAGGCTCTAGTGGAGTGAGGTCCCAGGTCGGTGATGGATGTGTCTTGTACGTAGGTTTGTATTTCGTGGCAGGTTAATAGCTTCCCTCGTGAGAGCTTTTGTGAGTGAGGGACGTTGTGTAGTCTCGGAGAGGGACGTTGTGTAGTCTCGGAGAGGGACGTGAGATTGCTTGACAGATGAAGGGGGCCCTTATTCGTGTGTACGCTGTAATGGTAAGAGTTTGCGTTGTACTTAGTGAGTTGTTATAGAAAGAATGGCTGTTCATCACGTTCTGCAAGCTTATCCTCGACGAGAAGAAATACACAGCGAGGCTTGGAAGTTTGAGTTTCTGACGAGGTACATACGTATCAAGAGATCCACTCTCACGATTGTGTTTGCTGGTCGCCATTGTGTTGTTTGGATATGATGTCGTTGTTGATACCGCGCTGACTGGATCTTGGACATCATTCCGGCAATGCGGTGGTCGTCGCAAGAGTTTACGGGACCATGAAGTATCTGAGTGGCGTAAAGGTGTCACGGTTACAGGACTCAAGAACATTCGGATGTCAGTGAAGGTAAGCTATCACGTGGATCATGTCCCCTGGTTACGAAGAGCTTCTTGACCCGTGAGTGAGGTTGAAGGCATTGAGACGTGCTCTATCGGCGCATATGGTTATCCTATTATCAGGGCATCGCCTCTTTCTTATATAAAGTCTTGATGCGTGATATGAATGGAAGCCGTCATGAGCAGGTCTGTTCAGTCTACGAGGTAAAAGGGAGTTAGATGCGGGCTTCTGCAGCGACTGTGAGGTGAACTCACGTCCGGACGCTTCTCAGTATGTCTCTTCGCTCCGTCAAAGATTTGATATGCTGATATCAATATCATCCGAATTGCAAACGATCTTCAACCATACTGGAATTAAGCCTCGACTTGGTGGCCATTCAGCAACCCAACTTCGATTTGCCTCTATTCACAATGACACCTTACATCACGAGGAATTCGGCAGCCTTTCTACTTTCATTGAAGTTGTTGGCGCGGCAATCGAGCGTGTTCCACAGCCGTGAAGTGTTGATTGGTGCATCACGCTCGGCAGTTTTCCATACCCTTACGTTTGAATCTCAGCTAGCTCCCGTTGGTTTTGCTTTCCTTCCTTTCCAAGGGTTCTAACCTGTGATAGCAAACATGTGTTTGTTTCGAGGGGCGTATAATAGTTCATCCTTGGAGTGAGAATCTGAATCACGCACTTTGGCATTGTAACAATCGTCATTTTAGAATTGTAGACCAAACGCAAGACCCATTTGTCTGAACTCTTAAGATCGATTTAGTTTCCGCCTGGGTAGCGGATTCCGGGGCAAGTGATGACCAGGCTCTATCGGAGAAACCTATTAGTCACGTGGAAAAATTGATAATCACAGACAAGACAGGTCGCGAGAGCTCATTAGGATCTTCCCTGCGGCAGCGTGATACTTGACTGGCTCTATACTCACATTCGACAGTGTCATCTGTGATCAACGGGAATGGGAGGGAGGCTACTTCTGGTTATCCCCACACCCAAGCGCGTAAATTCTTCTTTCATAGACTCTGGTACAGAAATCTAAGGTGAAGACCAGATTAGCCGTGTCTCTCCTCCCCTATGATGAATGCATATGGAATATACTTCAGGTAGTGATGATGAGACTTGGGCAGCGTAATAAAGAGCCTTCTCTAGCCACTGACTTGTAAGTAGACCATAAGTTTATCGACAAGGTTGACAGTATCCCAGATACACTTTCCGGTGCGGTATGGAGTTCCGTCAAGGCACAGGAGAAGATCACGACTTTGACGAAAATATAATCAGAAAATCTACATTCATGTAATAAATGCCTGAGGGTCTCCGAATCTTCCCTCGGATTACGAAAGGAGCGATCCTTTAACAGACGGCAGTTATCACTACTACACCTTCCCAACCATCTCGTTGTACGACTGCTTAACACTCGGATTGGAATGGACCGGGAGCGCGCCGGTAGAAGCCCTCAGTTGCGATCTCTTGGCATCCTCCTCTGCCTGCCTCTCCGCTGCGCTTAGATTCGCAAAGTCACGACCCCAAGCGGCTATTCTGTACCTCTCCGTCGCTTGAAAACTATCGAATATGCTCCGGGCAGTGACACTTAAAGCTGGACAGAGCAGAGAGCCTGAACGCCCACCTCCTGGCTTGTGGAAGCGAGAGTACCAAGATAGACGACCCACGCCCCAATGTCATCGCGGGGGGCTGCTCTCCATCACTCTATCATGCCCCCGACATCACCGTGATAAGCCAATCACACTGCTATAGTCTAGAATCTGACTTGGCAGAACTGTATTTATACCATTTTCGCGTTCAAACGGCTCGAGTTCCATTCCATATTGGCCAAAACTCCCAGAATATGAACTGTAAAGGGGGATATTGCGAAGATAGGCACTACGATACTCGGGTCAGCCTACCCTTGGAGCAAAGCCTAGTGATACCCCTCTCGTGATGGAAGTGTTTCTCATGGAGTCCCTACCTTCCAGGTGATTGGGACAGCTCAAAATCCGGCAACCCGGAAAAGAAAGACTGGGGGCCTTCAGGTGTACGGATTTCATCACTTTACTTCCATGAGAACATCTCAAAAAAAAAACAGTATATCATCACACGCTCGAGTGTAAACTCTTCTGCGTTCCATGAATTTCTTCCATGTCTGCCTTGCCTATGTTTAGTTCCCTAGTCGCTAATTGCCTCACAGACTACTCCAGTCAATACCATGCTCTTGAGATACCTTTACATCACCTCAGCCTCATGAACAGACAAAACCCAAAAGCTTCAGAGAAGAATTCTTGGCGTTCCGCAAGGTAAAAGAGTCGGAGAAGTCTCTCGTAGGTAGATTTCACACCCGTTGAAGGCGGCACCCCCGATCCCCCGAGACAACTTCACATTTCCCCTTTCGCGTCCAAGATAGGTAGAACATCAATCTGGCGAGGATAATGGGGATATCTTGTTGATGTTAAGCCTGCTACTCCCTCACCTCAAACCAATTTCCTTCACACGTGAGCTCTACCCGAGCCTAAACTTCAACCAAGTCTCGCATCGTTTGGCACAAGCAGTACAGTCTCAAGCGCATCTCCAGAAGCCAAAGGGCCTATTCCAATAATGCGAGGCGCTTATCACTCCATCAAGGCTCAGAACTACCGTCAGGTAAGTACCATCCTATCTACATAGGAATACCAAAAACATACCATTCTCTCAACGAAGCACCGGCGAAGTTTCCAACATGAGATCTTGTCTGCTACGCACCAGGGCGAACGATAGAGATATCGGTCGAAAGAACGCCCGTCACGCTTTTCATTACACATTCCGTCATGAATCTCACATATCAAAAAGATAGGTCTCATGAGTGGTGTATACACACCCTGACTTGGATAGAGATAATGCGGATTTTATACCGTCTCGACTTTGTAGTCTACTGAATTCTCGTAAGTCGCCATTTGTCAAAGTTCCATAATCTAAGTCCCCGTAATCCAATGACATAGGAAAGAAAGCCCATCGTCGCCCTGACACACCCGTTGCCCAAAAACGTTCCCATAAGAAAAAGGAAAAGCAACACCGAGAGAGGAGCAGATGAATGATCCGCCCGACTATACTCCCATTGTGAAATCGTGCTCGATACCAGGCGTGACGCTGGCCATGAACTACAGCAAGTTAGCATCATCATTACCCTCGCAAACTTCGCCCACATCAGAACATACCTTGAGGAAAACAACCAGATACTGATCCACCCGGATCGCAACCTCCTGCTCGTCAACCTCGCTCTGCTCAACCTCCTCCCACTCGCCGTCCTTATCGGCAGCGGCCTGAGCATCCTTGACATCCAGCTTGCCCAGCTCGTCAACGAGTCCCTCCATGCCCTGGTCCCCACCGACGGCCTTGCCGGCGCGCAGCTTCTCGCGCCGGATGCGCAGGGCCCCGTCGGCGCGGTCGAGCATCGTCTTCATCACGGACGCGTGCTTGCACGGGTGCACGCTCGCCATCTTGATGTTGTTGGCGAAGAAGGGGAAGTCCTCGAGCGTCACCGTCTTGTCCTTGTAGTCGCCCACAATGTCGTCCATCATGGCGTGCGGCGGTAGCGGCTGGCCGTTGGGCGAGTAGCCCGAGAGGTATAGGCGGGGTGTGCGGTAATACGTTGAGTACATGATATAGAGGGTGTATGTCCGCCGGCCGCTGTGAAGCGCGAGAGGTTAGCAATGTCTTCTCAAGAAGAAGCCTCTACACGATCAGTACCTGTTCTTTCCATTGTCTCCTGCATCGCGGATGATGGCCTCGTCGTCATCTTCATCCTCCATATCCGGAATCTCATCGTCATCCTCCACAACCTCCCGGTCTCCCACATTTCCTGAGTCGTCCACCGTCCGCACCTCCTTCACCTTGAGCGGCTGCGAGCTCGCCAGCCCGCCCGTGCGAAGCCAGCCATCTTCATCGTCGTCGCCGGTCCCGGAGCTCTTGCCGCCCTCCACAACAGCCTCCTCGTGGCCCGCATCGCCGGCGAAGTCGTCGTCGAGTCGGCGGTTGCAGGGGACGTTGCGCGTGACGAGGAACTGCTTCCCAGGAGGCAGGTAGCTGACGCGGCGGCTGTCGGCGTCGGCGTCGCCCCAGGACCAGGTCGGGAACTTGTAGACGAGGTAGTCGCCCGCGGCGACGAACTCTTCGGGGGTGATTTGGCCCGTCTGGCGGAAGGTGGACTTGTGCGATACCGGCGTGTACCGGTCGCGGAGTGTGTTGACGGTCGAATAAAGAAGATTCATCGTTGACGTCGGTCTGTGTCGTATAGGTAAGCTTCGGTATATCGAGTCGGTGACGCCGTGTGTTGAATGGTATCGATGGTCTCTAAGTCTATAGTTGCTTTGTGGTGATGCGATCGTCTTCAGTGGTGTCCTTCTTGCTGATGAGAAGGATGTTGTTGGTAAGGGTAAGAAAGACAGCCTAGTCCTCCGCCGACTCTGAGAATGATGTAGTTTGTCGTAGTTCCGCCTGATGTCGATGACTGGGAGTCAAGCTCGTGGCAGCTGTTCAGGGCGATCACATGGATGGCGGGGTTGTCTCACGATTGGACAGGGAAGATGGTGGCGGGGTTACCGCCTGCCCGCGCTAGTGCTGGGGGATCTGCTTATCTTATCGGCCGTTGGAAGCTACCTAGGTAGGTACTGTAGGTACTAATCCGCTTAGGTACGACAGACAACAGCTTCCTCAACATAGTTGCGCCATTGAAACCGGTGGAAGGGCACGGATCGCGCTGGTTCGAGCTGTTTTGCTGCAGCATAGGCTGACTCTGATGTAGCCTGAAACTCACGCCTGGGTGGCTGATGAGTTGCCCTTTGACTACATTGGAAGTGTGTTCCTCAGCTTTTGATCTCGAAACTAGCTAGACAAAGCTGTCGGAAGCCGGAGAACAAGGGAACAGCTAACATGTAGCTTGGCATTCTCATCTCGAGGGTGGCCCTCGCCATCTCGCTCATGCGATTTGGACCAGAGTCAGTGTCATGGAAGCTTCACTTAGACTGGACAGCATGCCCAGAGACGAATGGTATTCAGCCGCGACAGGATTTGTGGTATCTTTGAGTCCTAGCATCCTA